GAAAGTCAAATTAAATTTTTATGAGCGTTTGAAATTCAAATTTTTACAAGATTGGATATTCACTCGATTTCTCATGTGGCAATTTCCTTTTTTTGTTGTAATTAAAAAACGAATTACTGTAGATACATGAAAATTTCACTGAATGTTTATATTAGCATTTCCTATACACCATACAATTTTTTAAAATATTTTGACTCTTTTTGAGCCGTTTACGGACATTTTCAGTTTTCAATTTTTTTAGTTTTTTTTTTCTATAAATATCAATTAAGTTTTATCTGTTGGGCCAAAAAGTGTAAAAATTTAATACAAGGCTCCTGATATATTGTTACAATATCAGTTGAAAAATATTAAAAGTACATAGGCACAATTTTTTTTTATAAGCATTTTAACATCGAATTTTGACAGAATTTTTCAAAATCTCGAAAATTATTAATCATCGTAATTAATAAATTATAAAATGTTCAGTTTTTATAGCTAAGGATTGAAAATTTAAAACAAGATTCCACGTAAGTAGTTAATTCTCTTACCGAAAAATCTAAAAAATATACAATTACAGTTTATTTTTATAGTCATTTTATGTTCAAATTTTGACGAAATTACATATTAAAAAACCTAGTTATTTTGTTGTGATTATATAATATTATTCGTGGGTACCTACTTGAAACTTCTAAAGTGTACTATTATATATATATGATAGTATCAGGGTTTGTTGTTGGTGTATAACGTGTTATAAGTACCTAATGGATATTGTGATAATGTGATATGATTAATTTGGAATTATAGGTCAATTTTTTTTTAATACTATAGATATGTATATAATTTGTCTTAACCTAGACTGATATACCGTCTTCGCTCAGAATCGTTTTTCTTATACAATGATATTGTATCATTGAATTCAAATTTAATAGCATCAATTATACAGTGACCCACTTGTAACCTACTGTACAGCAGAGTGACATCCACTTACCCACCTTTTTTTCATTTATTTTTTGAAAACGTATCTACCTATTTTTATGTTAATATCATAACAATAATAAGACCATATAAGACAAATATCACGCAACCTATAGGATTATATCCACTAATCGATTATTTATAAAAATAAATACCTATATATCCTCATATAAAATCAGTGTTTAGGAAGTTACTTTTTAATGATAATTACCTTTAAAAACTGTAATCAAATTATTCTTGAGTTACATTTTTTATCTGGTCAAGTTGCATTACTTTGAGTTAAACAAGTAGTTAACTTCATAAAAAAATAAAGAAAAAAAGTAAGTTACTGTAATGGATGGCGTTAAATTTAAATTTAATGATATACTATCATTGTATACGAAAAACGATTCCGAACACAGATGGTTTGTCAGCCTACCTAGGATATTTGTATTATATTTTTATTGTTATTACTATTAATACAGTAGTCGGTTAAGTTAAATCATCACTATTTGTTTATCATCATATTTGTAAGTAATAATATACTTTAGACGTTTCAAGTACCCACGAATAATATAAAATATAACACAAAAATAAAATTTTCTTCGTTTATTTATTTAATTTCGTCCAAATTTTAATATAAAATAACTATAAAAAAAAACCGTATTGTTATATATTATTTTAGGTACTTGAGTTACAGAATAACCTACTTACGTGGAACCTTGTTTTACATTTCCAATCCTTAGTTATAAAAGTTAAATATTTTAAAAAATTTTAACTACAAATTAATTATAAAATTTAAAATTAAATATAATTTTGTTAAAATTCGAACTTAAATTGACTATAAATAAAATTGTGCAATTGTTTTTTTAATATTTTTCAAATGTTATTGTAACAATATATCAGTAGCCTTGTATTAATTGTTCACGCTTTTTGACACAACAAATAAAATTAATTGACATTTATAGAAAAAAATAAACTATAAAAATTAAAAAAATGTCCATAAACTAGTCAAAGTATATTTAAAATTGTATGCAGTATAGAAAATGAAAATATCAACATTCAGTGAAATTTTCATGCATACAGTTATTCGTTATTGAATTATAACAAAATAAGAAAATCTCCACATGAGAAATCGAGTGAATATCCAATGTTGAAAAATTTGAACTGTAAACGCTTATTCAAATTTAATTTGACTTTCTGGTATATATTTTTTTATTATAATAATAGACAAACTTATGAGAAATCTTCTATTACATTTTAAAATCTTAGATATGAAACGAACATTTTTTATGAATTTTTAACTTAAAATAATTTGCTATTTCCCGTGATTTTTACGAACTTTGTGAGAATTCGAACAAAATACTCTGAAGTTGAAAATCGAAGCATTATTTTGACTATATACCTATTAATTGTACACACAACACAGACACAAAAAATAAAAATAAAACGCTTACCATTTTAAAAATCAATACATTCAGCAATTCCGCGATTCCGCTCATAATCTAAAATATAAGTTCAACTTATGGTGTACTACTAGGTGTACTATAGGCGTACTATTATATTACTAATATAAAAATTAATTAATATACCTAAATAAATTAGAAAATATATGTAAGAATGGGGATTGACACACTGGCTCCTCTAAGTATCGGTTTTGGTATACTATTTTAGATTCTGAGCGAGCGATGAATGTATTGATTTTAAAATTATGTGTATTGTTTTTTTTGTGTCTGTCATCACCTTTTAGGACTGTAAAAATGCTTAGATTTGGCTTGAAGAAATCGATTTTGGTTTTTGGTACAACTCTAAAACAAATGACCTTAGGTAAACTCAATTTTGACTGAATGTTTATATTAGCATTTTCTATACACGATAAGGTTTCCAAAAATTTTGATTTATTTTGAGCGGTTTACGGACACTTTCAGTTTTTTTCTATAAATATCAATACAATTTTATTTGTTGGTTAAAAAAGCTTGAAAACATTAAATAGAAGGCTCCTAGTTAGGTATATTGTTTCAAAGGCAGGTAAAAAAATTAAAAATCCTAAGTCACAATTTTTTTTTATAAGCATCTTAAGTTCAAATATTGACAAAATATCTAAAAATGACGAAAATTTGAAAACTATTTTGAGTTAGAGATTCATAAAAAGTTTTCTTTTTAAATCTATGATTTGAAAATGTAATACATGATTCCTCATAAGTTTGTCTATCTTTATCAAAAAAAAAAATATCTACAAGAAAGTCAATTTTTTTTATATAATGATATATTATATCATTAAATTCAAATTTAACACCATCCATTACAGCGACCTACTTGTAACCTACTGTATAGCAGAGGGACATACACTTGCCCACTTTTTATTATTAATTATAGTCTATATATATATATATATATATTTATCATAAAAATGTATAAATTCACTTTAACAATTTATTTTACTTAAGTACTTATAATGTAAATTATTTAATTTATTAGTAGAAAATAAATAGGTCTATTATTTTCAAATATTGTGTTATAGGTTTATGATTATTGGCTATATACTTTTGTACCTAACTAAGAGTTCCTTCTCAATCCAATGTGCTACTAAAAACCACTCTCAAAGTTGAAAAGATGGGCAGGGACAGACACACACACACAAAACATATTATTATAAAACCTATACATTTATCGTTCTGCTCTGAACAGGGACTGGTACCTTATTGAAAAGAACCGGTTTATGAATCGGAACCCTTTGAGTATTGGGAACCTAACCTCACTGAAACTCTTATTTAAATTAATTTGGATACCAGAACTTAACCGGAACACTTACTTAAATTAATTTAAAAAACGGAACCTTACCGGACAGATACTTTAACTTTACAATTTGTTTACATAAGTATAAAACCAAAACATTTAATATTATTTTATTTTTTACGAACCGAAAAGAAACCGAAACCTAAATTTTAGTTTTTCTGGGAGCCGAACAGGAACCGGAACCGTAAAAATCATCAAGGTTCCAGTCTCTGGCTCTTAATTTAAAATTGGCATATATTCTAATATAGGTAGGTACTTCTTACACATTTTAAATATAATCTAATAACGAAAATAATATAGTTTAAATTATATTTAATGGTACGTATGTACTTTAAGATTTTTTTTCTTCAAATTGCTACAATTTTGATATTTTATCTAAACATTTAAAAATGATTAATTTTCTTGCAGTTGTAATAATAAACTAATATTTCTTCCAAAAAAGTAGAATATTAAAAATTATTATTATTATATGATTTATGACCTATACATTTACCTACCTATTTAGGCAGCAGTGAATTAACGACGTCCTGTACTCCATAGTAAATGCGTAATTATATTTTTGTATAGTATTTTATGTTGATTGTATATTAATTGTATATTGAGTTATTTGCGTAAGATAAATAAATTCGGGTACAAATAAACAATGCTGACCATAGGGATTATGAAAAATTTGAGTATTATTTAAAAAATCATTAATTTATTATATACAATAAATAATAATAGTAATATACAATAAATTAATTAGTAGGTACCATATACTATTAGGTAGGTAGTTATTATAATATATTAAATGTATTTTATAAATAAAATGTAAATATTAATTTTAGATATAAATTACCTATATTAATTATGTTTAGTGCTTACTGTTTAGATAATATTTTAAATTTTCATACAAAAATACATCATACAATTATTGTTTCTAATCATTGAAAGACACTTGTCTTCTATTAAGGTCATACATTTTAACTATTCATGTCATGTGTGGTGAAATTGTACATTCATTTTTGATTAATTTTTCTAATAGAATGTCTTCTCAAATAAGGAAATAAAACAAACTATAGGTACATATTATTAATATCACAAAATAAAGCTTCAATGAATTTCGTTGGCTTATATAATAAGACGGATGCTATTGTATTGATAATGCATTCGGGGTGTTATTGCATAAGTGAGTAGGGGGTCGCGTGTCCTCCGTTTCTTTCTAATAAATAACAATCTCACACTATATAAACCCATAATCTATTCTGCAGAGATACATTCAACGATTAATCATGGCTTCTTACACTCCAATGGTAAGTGTTTATTATTTTATAATTATTATAATACTAAGTTTTGAAACAAGATATACAAATACGTAGGTCTTAGGTAGGTAGATATAATATGTATAGTTAACGAAGTATTTATCATTTGAAAAATTAAACCCAAATGTTTGCTAAATTATTTAAAACACATAATAATAACATTTAAATTATTTAAACCATTAAAGATTAATACCAATATTTTAAACTATAAAATACAGCCACATATAGGTACTTTATTTATGTGGAATAAAAATTCAAGTTGTGATGACTTTAGATATTAAAACGTATAATACCGATTTATTCTCTAAATAGTCTAAAATAATGATTTTTATTTTGTGATTATTCAAATTTTCAAATTTTCTATAGACAGTGAACATTTTAAAATATTTAGTCTAATTTTAAGGTACCTATTATGGATATTTGACATTTTTAAATTTATTTATCTTTTTTTTTGCAGGGCTTAAAAACATTTTTAGTCTCGTTTAAAAATCTTAAAAATCTTATAAAGATCGTACATAAGTTGTTCTTACATCTATTTTAAAATATTAGATACATAGCATGATTTTTTTATGAGCTTTTGAATTTCAAAATCAAAAAATTTGTATATTTTCTTGTAGTTAAAAATGTATAAAATGTATAATTTTTATAGCTGAGGCTTGAAAATGTAATACAAGGTTCCTCATAGGTAGTACATGGTAAAATCTAAATAATACCTATATAAAAACACTTTTTTAAACTCAAAGCCTAACTTTGATAATATTGAATAAGCTTAAAACAAAATGTAGGAAATGTTTGGGGGCTATGGAAATTTTTTGTGGTAGGGGATTAGACCCTGAAGCCCTCTTTTTTGCTCCGATAATCTAGGTATATATGATTAATTATATACTACCTATGATTCTTTAGAATAATAAAATAATTTTTACTTAATATTCTAGCTTTTTTCTTGACATACTTAAAAAATATACAACCCTATATGGCTACCTATATTATGTTATCATTAATTATTTTTGGAGCAAGTACTGGTTTAAAATATTAATGTATATTTTACTACCTTACATATTTAATAATTATACATATCTGATTTGTAACACTAACTACTAAGGTGCCAAATTTATTTTAACCGTTTAACTAGGATTATATATACAAACATAATAGATCTTATGTTGGTATGTAGGTATACTACCTACTAATAAACTATACATTTATTTGGAAAAAGTTATTTAATTAATTTTAAATTAGTCTATAATATTATATTAGTACGTATATTCTTCAGATGGATCTACTACTTGTATTATTTGTATTTTTCACATTCAAATAACCACAAAACAAATTTATATTATACCATATTTAATGTCATTAATTTACTAAACGGACATTTTATGAAGACACATAGGTATACATATTAAATGTGGTGATATTGAAATCTATCGTAACATGAAACTCTAATTAGTTAGCTCAATGGAATATTAATGTATAATATGATGAATTATTAATTAACATATTGACTAATTTCCTATTTGATATTTATTCTTATGTTAATTTGTTTATGTTAAAGTGTTTGGTCTTCTTGGCAATTTTAATCAGTCGTCCAATCATCGGAGTTCAAGTATACGAACAACCGGAATTCAAATCATCTCGTCATGTTGATGATGGTGCACAATCAAAAAGTACTGTCTTAGTTAGACAATTTACAATGGGAGGTGGTGCTCATATTTCTGGTTCTGCCAATGGCTTTAGTCATGGCCAAGCTGGAGCATCAGGCATCGGTAGTGGTTCATCTCATGGATTTGGCCAAGGTTTCAGCAGTGCATCTAATAATGGTGCAGGTACTTTAGGAGCAAGCTATTTGAATAACAATAATGGAGGATTTGGGAACGGAGCAGCTGGAAGTGGCAATGGATTCGGAAGTGGATCTGGCAACGGAAATGGATTTGGCGAGGGAAGTGGAATAGGAACTAGTGGTTCGGGTGGTGGTTTTGGGGGAGGTAGTGGATTTGGAGGTACTTCTTCTGGTAGTGGTGGACAAGGTTTTGGAGGAGGGAATGGTCAAGGCGCGACTGGAAATTTTGGTAATGGTGGATTATCAGAGGGTAATGCCGCAAATGGATTAGGAGTTAGTGGTGGAACGACATCTGGAAATGGGTTTAGTAGTGGTAATGGAGCAGCATTTGGAAGTGGCTTCGGTTCAGGTAATGGTGCAGGTACCTCTGGAGCTGTAACCGGGAATGGATTTGAGTCTGGTAATGGAAATGGATTTGGGTCTGGTAACGGAAATGGATTTGGGTCTGGTAACGGAAATGGATTTGGGTCTGGTAACGGAAATGGCTTTGGTACTTCTGGTACAAGTGGTGGTTTTGGGGGAGGTAGTGGATTTGGAGGTACTTCTTCTGGTAGTGGAGGACAAGGTTTTGGAGGAGGTAATGGTCAAGGGGCCACTGGGAATTTTGGTAATGGTGGAGTATCAGGGGGTAACCTCGTAAATGGAATGGGTAATGGTAATGGAGCAGCATTTGGAAGTGGCTTCAATTCAGGTAATGGTGGTAGCTCTGGAGCTGCATCAGAAAATGGATTTGGGTCAGGTACTGGTGGTACATCTGGGGTGGCATCTGGAAATGGCTTTGTTGCAGGTAATGGTGGAGGTGGATTTGGAGGTGGATTTGGAGGTGGACAAAGTAATGGATTTGGAAATGGTCAAGTAGCGGGATTTGGGGAAGGTTTTGGGTCAGGAACAGGGGAAGGTTACGGAGAAGGCGAAGGATTTGGTTCAGGAGCTACATTCAATGGTGGTTCTGGAAACTTACAAGCTCAAAATCAAGTATCTCAATTAGGAAGTGGTGCAGGTGGTCAAGGTGGTGGACCATCAGGAGGAGGTGTTGGATTTGGTTTTGGTGGATCTGGAAACGGAGATTTCGATATAAAAAAATGAAAAATATTTTTGTACTTAATTAATTATATTTTAATTTATCAACATATTTATTTAATTTATCACTCTCTGTGTATTCAATAAACCATATTTAAATCTATTTATATACTTTAAGATTAATTAAGTATCTGGAAACGGAGATTTCAATATAAAAAAATGAAAAATATTTTTGTAATTATATTTTATTTATCAACTCTCTGTGTATTCAATAACCCATATTTAATAAATTCTATTTATATACTTTAAGATTATTTTACTGTAATTGTTAAAGATTAAGTTTTTAAACTCGTATAAGTTACATACAATTTAAATTTTGATGTAAACATATATTTATAAACTATCATAATTAAAAATTTAAAAAAAAAACGAACGTATTGTTTTAGTTAATAGTTACCCAAAAAAATATGTTATTCAACAAGTTCCAATATTAAGTATCTAATTAACTTACACTTTTTGTGTACAATATAACTTTTACTATAAATAAATGCTTTGGTAATGAAATTAATAATGTTAAAATAACAGTAACATTAAATACATAACATAATTTAATATGAAGGTATTAGGAACTTGATTGATGAATGATGAACATTCACAATTTTTTTTTTTATAATATTTTTAAATGTGAATGTATTTTGGGTCAAAAGCTATAAAATAACTAATATAAATAATAATTATTCGATTTCATTTAGTATAAAAATAATTTAATTATTATTTAATTGTAAGTGAAGCCTTGAATATATTGGTTTTACAATGATATGTGTTTTTTCGCATCTGTCATCACACATCACCTATTGAAACAGTCAAAATTCTTAATTTTTTAATTTTGAGTATGGTTTTTGGTAGAAAAACTAAAATTAAATATTCCCAGTACTTTTCTTAATAATCGGGAAGAAAAAAAAGGTAGGAATGAAACCTGTATATTAGGTGTCGTGGATCACTATAAGGGATATGTTAAATTCGATATGTTTAAAAAGGATTCTGAGCAAACACGATCTATCAGCCTATATATACCAATATTTTTAAATTACAAAAAAATATCTAAAATCCAGTGGTCGGGACGCTACTGTTTTTTTGTAGCACGCTAACGCTACTGCTACTCCCCAAAAAAAGTAGCTCGCTATCGTTAAAGCTACTTTTTTTTTAAATGTAGTGCGCTATTTCTAACGCTATTGTTTAAATGTAGCGTGCTACTTTTTCGCTACATTTTTTAAAAAATTGTTTTTGTTTATTTACATATTCACTTGAGTACTTGTTCATTATTTGTTAATGCCTACCACTATTTTCTTGTAATTTCGGAACGCAGGTTTATTAAGTGTAACTCATGTATTTTTGTAACAAAATTCAAAACAAATAAACGTTTTATTGAAAATTGCTAACTAGTTGAATATGACGTGGTGGCTTCAGGTTCTGTCATTTTTAATTCAACTATTCAAAATATTTAAAACATAAAAGAAACACAGAAAAGTAGAAAACGCTGAATGCCGAAAACAAAAATAGTGATAATAAAATACTAATATATTAAATATTATTTATGGTTCTGTTTTCAATAATATAAATATTACATATTACATTGTAATAATGCACTGTTTATGATTATAGTCTAATGATTAGACTATTTGATTTTATATAATTTATAATTTTAACAATTTGTGCTAAGACGTCAGTCACTGTTTTGGGCATTTTTTTTTTTTTGAGGCAAGTGCTTCTCGATGTATAATGCAGTGTGTCCACTTTAAACTTGGAACAATGTCTTTTACTAATTTTATTAGGCCGACGTGTTTTCCAGTCATAGCAGCTGCCCCATCAGTTGTTATAGAAATACAATTTTTTAAATCTACGTTATTGTTAGTAAAAAAGTTCACTAACGTGTCAAAAATGTTTTTTTCCAGTAGTTGAAGTTTCAAGTTTTGAGGAGAAGAGTATATCCTCGTGGATTTTGTTGTTATAAAAATACCTTACATATGTAAGCAAAATCGCCAAAATCGCTTGGTTTGCAATATCGGTGCTCTCCGAATGTAATTATTAAAAAATTATTTTTTTACCTTTTATAATTTAAAATTTATTTATTAAAAATTTTATTTTTATTTTAAAAAGAAGACTTATCGCGACCCAATTTTAAAGCTTACGCGACCCAAAAATGGGTCGCGACCCACCGGTTGAAGACCACTGGTCTAATCTATCCGGTCTTATCTTAGTCCGGTCCGGGTTAAACCCGAAAAAATCTAAAATAGGTACACTCATCTTGTCATCTTAATTAAATAAATAAATATACATCATGATATTTTAATTATCATGAAATAAGTTAGAAGTAGCGATAAAATAATGAACATTTTCGCTACGCTAACCGTAAATTTCTAGCGCGCTATAGTATTTCTCTACATTGTATAATGTATATACTGTAGCGACGCTATGTTAATCGCTACAACTAAAGTAGCGTGCTACTGTAGCGTCGCTACAATTAGCGCGCTACTCCCGACCACTGCTAAAATCTAATCATCGTTTAAATGTTTAAATGTCTGTTTTCCAAAAAATCGATTTTGGTTTTTGGTGTAACTCTAAAACAAATGAACGTATATACATGAAATTTTCACTGGTTGTTTATATTTGCATTTTCTATACACGATAAAATTTTTAAAATATTATGATTTGTTTTGAACTGTTTAGGGACATTTTCATTTTCCATTTTTTTTTTAGTTTTTATTCTAAAAATATCAATAAAATTTTATTTGTTGGTTTCGAAAGCTTGAAAATTTAATAGAAGGCTCCTAGTATATTTTTTCAAAGGCAGATGAAAAATATTAAAAATCCTTAGTCACAATTTTTTTTTATAAGCATTTAAAGTTCAAATATTGACAAAATATGGAAAAATCACGAAAATTAGCAAATTATTTTGAGTTAATAATTCGTCAAAATTTTTCTTTTTAAATCTAAGATTTGAAAATATAATACAAAATTACTCATAAATTTGTCTACCTTTATCAATAAAAAAATCTCTACCGGAAAGTCAAATTAAATTTGTATGAGTGTTTGAAATTCAAATTTTTACTACAGGATATTCACACGATCTCTCCTGTAGCGATTTCTTTATTTTGTTGTATACAGAAACGAATAACTGTAGATACATGAAAATTTCACTGAATATTTATATTAGCATATCCTATAAAACATACAATTTTGAAAATATTTTGACTGTTTTTGAGCTGTTTACGGACATTTTTAGTTTTCAATTTTTTTAGTTTTTTTTCTATAAATATCAATAAAGTTTTATCTGGTGGGCCAAAAAGTGTAAAAATGTAATACAAGACTCCTGATATATTGTTACAATAGCAATGAAAAATACTAAAAATACATTGGCACATTTTTTTTTTATAAGCATTTAAGATCGAATTTTGACAAAATTTATCAAATTTAAAATCGAATAATTATTTTGTAGTTAAAAATTTATAAAATGTTCAACTTTTATATCTAAGGATTGAAAATTTAAAGCAAGATGCCACGTAAGTAGTTAATTCTGTTACCCAAAAATCTAAAAAATACATAATCACAGTTTATTTTTATAGTAATTTTAAGTTAAAATTTGGATGAAATTACATAAAAAAAAACCTAGAATAACTATTTTTGTTATTTTGTTGTGATTGTATAATATTATTCGTGGGTACTTAAAACTTCTAAAGTACACTTGTATATATCTATGATAGTATCAGGGTTTGTTGTTGATGTATAACGCGTTTTAAGTACCTAATGGATATTGTGATATGATTAATTTGAAATTTATTATAGGTACCTATTATAGGTCAATTTTTTTTTTAATAGCATAGATATGTATATAATACGTCTTATACCTAGGCTGACATACTCTCTCCGCTCAAAATAGTTTTTCTTATACAATGATATTACATCATTGAATTCAAATTTAATACCATCCATTATACAGTTACCCACTTGTAACCTACTGTACAGCAGAGCACCTTTTTTTAGATTAGTATTTTAAGATATTTAAAATTAAAATTTGGGAAATTTAGGTATTTAAACAAAAAATAATGATTTTAGTTTTTTGTTGTAAATTAAAAATATTATTCGTGTGTTAGTACTTGAAACTCTTCAAGTTACTATATTATGTTTATATTGTATATAGTACCTATATTGTATATATTTTTTGCAATAATTATTAATTTGAACCTACTGTACTAATACTATAATAAATCACTTAATATTTTTTACTTCTCCAATTTTTTTCTATAGGTACATGTCAATAAAATGGTATTCGATTTGTCAAAAATCATGAAAACTTAATACAGGGCTCCTGATATTTTGTTATAATAGCGTTGAAAATATTAAAAATACTTAGGTACGATTTTTCTTATATAAGCATTGAAAGTTCAAATTTATAAAATTTTCAACTTTTATAGTTAAGGATTAAAATATTATACTAATAGGTAATAATACCTTTTTTTTTTTTTTTGCAGTTTGAAACTGACGAATTGCTTCCGCAGCTCAAAAGAGTATTAATACCTATAATTATTAATAAGTACCTAGTATTATTTGCCATCTATACACTTCCTAAGATTCATACCTAAATTATAATATTACCACTTGGGAAGTTGTATGGCAAATAAGGGCATAGACCAATTGCGCCAAAACAAAATTTGTATTTTACGGTTAGTACACTAATTACGCTCCTTATATTTTACGTTCAATATACCAATAGCGCTTGTATTCAAATTTGCCTGGCGTCTACCTTCAGATTTAGTAATACTGTTGTTCGATCTAATTCCATCAAATCAACATAAACACACTAAAATGCTTGAAAATTAAAAACGTATTTATTGATTAATTGATTACTGGTTAGAGTGACTGGTTATATTATTTTATAACGGTATTGGGAAATTTATGAAACATTATTATTATTACGACAACATTTGATCACGGAGGTATGCATTTGAGTGATAGACGAAAACAAGTTTTCATTATCATATATTTTATATAATTGACGATCAAAAAGT